CTCCATTTACCACAACCCTCTGCACCCAATGTTGGTGCATTGCATGAAACCCAATGTTTCACTATAAAGGTAATATGGCTCCATGTTTCCCCCAGTTGGCAGCCTTCCTTTCTTACTAGCCCCCAACCCTTGCCCCTGCTACAGCTGCTGTCAAGTTCTGCAAACAAATCCACTTGTTCTGCAAACAAATCCACTTCTCTCTTCAAGTCAGTTCTTGGCTGGCCAAAACTGTGTAAAATATACCACTCAATCATAAAATCACACACGACAGTAATGCACGTCAATGACTTCAGCTTCAGTCCTCACGAGATGAGAGCTTACTGACCCCCTTTGTGAATGAGGACAGAGATGTCCAGAAAAATTACAATTTGCAAACACTGTACCTTGTTCCCAAGTCCCAGTTTAAAGCCAGAACAAAATACCCTTTGCCCTTGTTTAAAAATAAATGCAACACTTTCCCAAGATGCTCCCAGCCACCCAACCTACTGATCTAGTTCAGCGCGTTATGGAGAGCCCAGCAGAGGGATGAAGTCCCTGTGAATGCATCAACCCTTCACATTACGACTGATTTGGACAGGCTACTGCCACAAATGGCCTCTTCAGGCAGAGCAGAAACACCAGAAAAGGGCACAGCAGGGAGTGTGAGTTCTCAGCACTGGGCCAAAGCTGACATGACACGATTCCCCCTCTACCCCTGCTCTGACCTCTGCTACAGAGGTACCACATGGACAGCACACCAGAGGCACTGTATCACGAACAGAGACCGCAGACAGCAGCAGGATAACTTCTCCACTGGCAATGGGTGCTACGCAGCAGAAGATTGCCTTTTTTCTTATATTTTTTAGGGTACAGAGAATTTTCCAGCTTGCTCAGGAAACCCTAAAATTATAGTAACTGCCAAGGCCACTGTAGTGTCCTTGCTAGTTATCACCTTCAGCCCCAAGCAACATCTGGACAGAGAAAACAAGAGATAACATTTCCCAGAGACACCAAGGAAAATGAATCATTCAACAGAATTGGAAATATATGATCTGTTTGCCAAAGAATACCCATGAGTTACTAGCCAGTAAACAAAAACCTTTTTTTTTTGTTTAAATACATTATTTAATGAGTTTTCTTTAAGAAAGAGCTGTTTTGAAGCTCAAATTACAATGAAGTACAATCCTCTAAATCTACAGCAGACAGTGATTTAACATTTACCAAACCAGGTATTTTCACGTTTGCTCCTCTGCTGTTATTGTGATTGTTTAAGGAAAAGAAAATTGAAATCTTTTTTTCACATCAATCCTGCCCTACCTTGGCTATTCACCCTAGAACAGAGAAAGACAAAAGCCTGTTACCACAGTCCTCTCCCAAAATACAGCCCAAACACCAAGCAGGAGCAAGACCCTGTCACGATCACACGCAAACTCAGCTTTTGAAAGAGGACAAGTAAAATGGTGCAGGCGGGTGGAGGCAATATCAAAAAAAGGTGGTGTTCCCTTCCTGCAAGAATCACAAAAAATGCCCTTTTGCTACCAAACTGCCGTTGAACTCAAGTTCATCCCACACATTTGAGCAAATCTGAGTTTACATAGGTAGCGCTGAGTTCACTTTTCCACCTTCTCCTTATGTTTTCCCCTCTTCTCTTCCTATCCAATGTTTTCTTCCTCCCTTTTTTCATCCCACATTCTCCCTTCATCATTTCTATCTTCTGCTACTCAGTCCCAGTGGGGCGGAGCCGGAGCACCGCTCCTCTGCAGTCTTCTGGCACTGCAAATGCTGTGGCAAAGGGCAAATCAATAGTGCTGAATTAGGATGGAAGAAGAAAAAAGAAACAGGTCAATTCCTCAGAGAGTTGTTTCGTCTCTTTTAAAGGCCACTTTGCATGGCCTTTGAATTCTAAAGGTACAGGTGAGCTTCTACCATTAGTGTAAAAAAATGTGATCGAGCCAAAAGTTTCAATGCTTCTTGGTTTAAACTGAGCAGCGTGCTGATAAGCCCCTGCTCAGCTATTCAGACATGAAAGCAGACATCAGGTGTAAATTTCATCTTTATTATAACAAAAATTATGACATGTTCATTTGTGCATTCGGCTTTAATATAACTCTTGGTATGTAAATGTTCTACAGCAAATGAGCTCTATACAATCATGCTGGTTGTGGCAGCAGTAAGGAACACAAACAAAACGTGTCTGTAAAAGTCAGGAAAGAAAGAGGCCAGAGGAAAAAGTGGGTTTCTTTGAATGGTCTACACCAGCTCGGCTCTAGCTAACGTGAACACAGCCACTCAGTCCGCTCTGCTCAATGACCATGGCCCAAAGAGTCGCTTAAGAAAAAAGGTCAATTTTTCAGGTTGTGTCCTTAATGCCAAGGCTACAAAACATGTAAGCATCACTATACAACACTGAGCTATTTACAGGAATTTCCCAATCAACTGTTCTCTCAGAGAAAATTAGTGAATCTCAGTGACTTAAGTCACCTGAAAGAGTAAAGCAACTCCTAGGAGTTAGTCTCCATATTCTACAAATGTCTATCATTTTCAAGACCAAAAAAAGCCTTTTCTCTCAAAGAAATACAGTATTACAATATTACTTAAATCATTTAGCACTGCCCTGCTTTTCAAACAAAACAAACAAGCCATTTTAAAAAATATTACATCATCATCTGTTTCTCAGCAATATATTAAACCTTTTTATTATTTTTTTTGTTTGTTTTTTTGTTTTTATATTTGATATGTTAAGGGAAGGTTAACTATTTTAAACTTTACCGGTCAAGCGTCTCTAGAAGAAAGTCAATGAATATTAAACCTAACAAACTGAAAAGCTGCAGTTCTCTGTAGTGGCAGGATAAGGAAAAGGAAGTATATAAAGAAAAAGGATAAGGAAAACTCCTGCTGTGATGCAAGGAGGTCCCGCACTCCAGTCTCCTTGTTTGTTAGTTCATTTCTGAGCAGTGAATAGAGTGGGTCATAGTGGTGTGTCGTAATAGTCTGCCAGGTGGTCCATCGGGTACTGCCGCGGCTGCTGCTGCTGCTGCTGTTGTTGCTGTTCCTGGTGCTGCTTCATGATCTCCTTGACTTCTTCCTCAAGCTCTGGTGGGATGATAAACTGGTCGTCAGGATCGGGCTGTGCTGGAGCAGCAAAGTAGCCCCCGGTTTTTCTGAGCGGCGCATCCGTCGCGACTTCAATTAAGTTATGGCTCCTCTCTTGTGGCGCCACAGAGCCGTTGCCGCGCCGGCGCCCTATCGTGCCCGTGGCAGAATACTCAGCTTTCCTGGGCAGGCCGGGCTCGTCTTCATTGGCACTGATGACGATACCTTCGTCGCTGGCTTCCACTGGCACCTGGAGAAGCTGCTTCTCCTTCGCTCGGCTGCAGTGGATGTCCACCTCCACTTCCACGCGGCTGCCGTTGGTGAACACCCCTTCGATCGGCTCCTCATCGTCGCTGTCAAGGCCGTTGTCGGAGAAGGCGCTGGAGAAGGTGGCGCTGGAGAGCTGCCGCTGGAAAGAATTGGAGAGGCAGACGGGGTGCAGCATGGCACCTGGAGAAGCTGCTTCTCCTTCGCTCGGCTGCAGTGGATGTCCACCTCCACTTCCACGCGGCTGCCGTTGGTGAACACCCCTTCGATCGGCTCCTCATCGTCGCTGTCAAGGCCGTTGTCGGAGAAGGCGCTGGAGAAGGTGGCGCTGGAGAGCTGCCGCTGGAAAGAATTGGAGAGGCAGACGGGGTGCAGCATGCAGCGCTGCTCCCCTGGGTAGGCCGGGCTGTTTTCGTTCATGGCTACCTGGGGTGGCTCGTCAGAGGCCGTGGACCCCACCTCGCTGCTCATTTCGGAGGTGGAGATCTCACTGCTGATCTCTGAAGCCATGCCGCTACTCGAGGACGGCATCCCAAGTGCATCTGTTGGCCTGTCCTTGATGACCACATTGACAGACTGTGGGAAAATGCCTGGGCTGGGCGGTGGGACCCCGTTAAGTTCACAGCAGCAGAAGCTGTCCTCCGTCACGTTGAGCTGAACCACAACAGCGCTGATGCTGTCGTTGCAGCCGTAACTCTGGGCCAAAGTGCAAAGCTTCTTCGCGGCCGCCAGCGCGTCAGGCACGTTTCTGACTGCCTCCACCGCTTCATCCATCGAGAGGCTGTCCCACAGCCCCTTGCTTCCCAGGATGAAGAACTCGTCTTGCGGAGTTAAGGTGATGGACTGGACGTGAGGACGCGGCACAACACTCGGGTGAAGAAAGGTGTACCCCAAGATTCTTGTTGAATCTGTCACTCCATTCACTTTGCCATCCTGAAATTAGAAAGGACAGGAAACTGGAAACAAAGCAGACAAGGATACACAGCACCTGCATCTCCTTGCATTTTCCTGATGGCTGTTTTTACAGTACCCCAAACACTGCCATTTACAGATGCAAAGACAGAAAAGCAAAGTGACTTGCAAGGAGGTGACAGAGCTGGGATTAGAGCACAGCAATGGCTGGTTTCCAATCCTGCGCTGCACCTCCTACATCCCACTGATTTGTCATCAGCATCACCTATGCGCAGACCAACAAGGCAGAAGTCTGCAACAAAGAGCCATCTATTCTGCTCCTGCAGCTGCGAGCGCCAACTGGACTCATGTTTTACCACTGAGTCAGACTCATCCCTCCTCCGCCCACGGTATCTGGCTGTACGCAGGGCAAAGCCACACACAGCTCCACTTGATACAGGGCCAGGTCGTTCAGTTATGACTCTTCTCTTGCAGCTGTAACAATTGCAGGTTTCAACCTGGCTCATCACTTCAGCAACAAAAGTTCATTTACAAAAAAAGAAAAAGCAGACTTCAAATGAAGCATGCAAGCCAAATGCAGCAGAGAGCAAGTCTGCATTTCTCAGTCAGCTGAGTTGTAGTGAAATGTTTTACATGCCCCAATTACTTACTACGTTTCCACTTAGATACGACATTTCCAAGGGGAGGAGAAGTAATATCCAAAGGGAAAACATCAGTAAAAATGGATGTATTTGAGAAGTAAATCCCATGCACGTCCAAACCCCAGGATCCTGTTCTGGTTAGGATCCAAGCTGCCAGAATAAGCAGAGCAAGTGTCTGAAACAGCAAACCCAGCTATCTGTCAGCCTGCTGGGGAGAGCTGCAGCCTGCTAATTGCGAGTTGGAGAACAACAACAACAACGGTGAGGATTTACACTCATTTGGTCCAGCTGATGACTGCAGCAGTTATTATAAAGCAGATAACCACAGAACAGTGAACCAAGACTAAAAAAAGCTTCCCCTTCAAAACCACACAGAGGGAAAAAAAATCCTTGTCGGCTTGTTAACTTCCCCATTAGAAGGCTGACAGCAGTGATAAGCCATCAGCGTGCATGAAATCAGTGAGTCATCTTCAGATTCAGTGCAGAAATCTCCCTTTTCCTCTATGGAACAACACAATGAGCCTGCCTCGGTGATGCACACTACATTGGAGTGACTGCCTTCAAACCTGTCACGTTTGAGATCCCAGTCATCACCTTTCCCTGGCACACGACTTACTCCACGCACACACACTCTCCCCTACACACACCCCCTGCTCACGGGCTCACAGCAGTGAGTCTTCTGCCCTCTCCTCCACCATTAAGAAGATTCAGTATTTATCTATTTCTATGCATGTGTCACACAAGGCAAAGCCAAACTGACAGTGGTGGCTTCAAGCTTGTAAGAAGGGAACAAATAGTCGCCTCCTCTCTCATGGTTCAGCTGAGCACAGGGTGGGTTTTCCTTTTGGGCGAGTGCTCCCTTCAAGACCTGCCTGTCAAAGGGCAGCTCTGGGAACATAGGAGCTCCGACAGCAAAGTCAGCCTGCCAGGAGCAAGGAATCTCCTAAGGAAAGGACGGCATTGCTCCAAATGCTCTGCCCTCTCATCCTTTTTGACTGTAGAGGCTCCTCATGACAGCTCCAACACAGCAATTTCTCTCCCCATTAGGAGGAGGGTGTCTGCTTTCCTGTTTCAATGCAACACGCTGACAGTCACTCGCTCTCTGAAGCTAACTAAAAATCCAGCATGGCAATAGGATGGAAAAGCAACTTAACTGCATGATAATTTGAATTATGATGATAATATGAATCACTGTGAAAGGAAAATTGCAACTCTGGAACCCATACCATTAAGACTACTTGTTAGAGATTACTAATGTTGACATGTATTTTCATGCATTGCTGTGCAAATGTTCTTCAAGGAAGCTGCAAGTTGCAACAGTCCCTGAGATTCTCTAACCTCTGTGATAATGGCTTTATGCTGCTTAATCCTCTTCAGCTCTTCTTCACAACTCATCACATAACACCTGGACAAAGGCAGAGGTTTCCCATTCCGGCAGAGAATGGTTTGGCACTTCCCCACATTTGCTGAGGTCAGCGTGAAGCATCCACCAGGGTCCATGGGATCATGTTTTATATGGCAAAGGACAGCAGAGCCTCCAAGTTTTTGTCCAGCTGTTCCGAGTTTCCTGGAATTTAAACAAAACAGTGATTGTTCTTTAATTGGAAAACAAATGTTACGGGTACGATGGAGAAAAGGCCACTGTTCTGCAACCACAAGCACCCAGGGCATTGACTCTGTTGGATCACTGGGACTGAAACAAAAATGTCCACTGAGGACTGTGACACCACGGCAGCGCTGCAGAGAAATCACGTGCAGCTCCCAGGCAATGTGTTATTTACACATATGCAGATACTCAAATCTGCTCAGTTTTAGAACAACAAAAAACATCTTTGCACTTCTAAGAATCACACAGTTGTCCCTCTTCCTCTACATCTTAAAGACGTTTGTTTTAAAGGTCAGATCAAGGGAAACAGAGAGGTTAGAAAAGTACTGAGAACTATTAAATGAGCATAGGTAGAGCTTAAAAAGGGGGGTTCATATAATTCAGCTATTTCTTTGGCTTCTCAAGCAACAGATTTTATTATAAAATAATAATTGTAACCGTAAAAACTCTATTTTTGAGTACAAACAGAAGGCAGAGGTTCACTGTTTTGTAATGTCTTCCGAATGATGCTCTTACAAGTATCAAACGATGATCAAAAAAGCACAGTGGCTGTGAACTTCACTGTAAGAAGACACACTTTTCATTTATCTTGTCAGTTACTAATCCATTAAATAGGTTCTTAGAAATACTTAAGCCTGCTGTTTTAGCAGGGGTCAAAGTGAAAAAAAATAATCTGCAGATAAACCCAAAGCTTTCAGAAATTCATTTCAATTCTAGACTGTGAAAAACCACCTATTCTTCCCAGTATCTTGTTTATCAGGGCCTTCTCTTACAGTAATTAGGAATTACAGTAATTAGAAAGCTAATTATAGAGGTTACTATAATTTATATCAAAGCTAGGTGCAGCTGGCAAGAACTTTTGATTCAAAGTCCTGGGGAGAGAATGCACAATAAATTTGTAACCGAGCTTCAACGTGCTTTTTAATTTTATTTTTTAAAAATACACTTCCGGAGTGTTGCACATCACCTGTAAGAATCCTCAATGAATGGCTGAATGCAACTGCAATCAATACTACTTCTGGTTTTCCAAAGAAGTGGTTAGCTTGTTTTGACTTGAGACCAAAAAAAGCACAGCTTTTTGTTGGAATGCCACATTTCTGTGGAATTGCATTACTAGTAAACAAAACCACTTAAGTATTTTCAATACTCAAATTTGTTATTGTTTTTGAATATTTCAAGTACCTGGCAACCACCTTCTCAGCTGAGGCACTGTTATAAGCAGTTATGGGAAGGATGCATTTTTACTTGTGTTTGTAAGGTTCAATACCACGCTACTGCTTCCATATCTTTCCTGATACCAGAACTTGAGTACTTTTCCTTTCCAAAGGCGTAGCTGTTAAACAATAAGCAATGCTACTTTTAACTTGACCCATTTCCTTGGTCTCTAAGCTGCTTATTTGCTTTCTCCTTTGTTTCCCTGACCTCTCCGTTCTCCTTTGTTCCGTTCCCTTCGCACTCCTCCTTCGCTCAGTGCCTCCCCAGGCACAATTTCTTCTTCTGTCAAGCACACGGGTTTCCAAACCACTACACTGAGCTACTATTACACTCACAGCTATTGTATCACAATCTCTTTGGATGGGTCCTGCTCAAATATATTCTAAGGCCAAAGGGATGACAGGAGAGATACATTTCTAGGGAGTCAGACTGCATGTTTTGTGTAGCCTTAAATAACTGGAATTGGTACAGAGAAACAGTGAGGATCAGCCCAGGCTTTGCAGCCAGTAGTAGTAAGGAAGTTTAAAAGACAATCAAGAGATTCATACCACTGACTTGGTTATGGCCAATTGTGAATCCTAAGACTTAAAGAAGATACCAGAAGAGAGTAAAACACCACCCACTACTTAGACATGAGGATTTAGTAACTTTGCAGGTGGGGTTTTCTGTTTGTTTGTTTGGGTGGGGAGGTGTTGGTGTTTTTCTCCCCACATCTGAAAGGAACAGAGAGCAACATTCACAAAACAAGCAATAAAAGAAAACAGCAGCCAGATACCAAGGCTTTTTTTTTTTCAAAGCAATAAAAAAGCAGGTGTCTGACCTGAAAGCAAACTGTCCAGTGAACATACACACAGTAATAAAGGCTCACATACAAGACCTACCTCTGCATAACGATGAAAGTGTTGATCATGTATTCCTCCTCATTTTTTGTTTTCTGCAGCTCCTCTGCTAAGATGTCACTCATTGTGCACTGCAGCAGATATGGCACTTCCACGTTGCGGTCACCATCAAAAACACCATAGAGCGCCTCCCGGTTGTCGCAGAAATTATTGGCTGAAAGTGCCGCCACACACAGCCTAGTGAAAACAAAGGAGAACATCAAGGTTGCTACCCACTACCTGTTTCTCATCTTGCCATTCTGACCAGAGAGATTCAGCCTGGTTTGAGAGATAGTTTTAACCACCTCTGCTCACAAGCATTTCAGGGCTGCTTTCTGAGCTGTGGAGAAGAGTCAGGCCCATCAGCAGTGCTAAGATGTGGAGACAGCTATCCAGGAAGTTCAAGCCAAGCCCTAAGGATTCTGCCTCCTTTTCAGCATGTGAACAAGTCCCTTATTTGTGGAAATAGGGGGCAAAGTATCTCTGAAACAACATCGCTGCGCTTGCTCCTTCAAAAGCCATCCATGCCAGTGACCAAGTTGAGTGTTAAGTCAGTTACTGGTAAGTAAAGCCTTGCTGGCACTGGCTATGGAAACCTAGGTAGCAGAAGATTTCTAAAAAGGTATTTAAGGAACAAAGAAAGATTCATCACATTGCCAGCAACAGAGAGACTAGCAGACTCTTGGTACATTATTTGTCAAGTGCTGCCTTAGTCACAGGAGCTCCGCACGCTATGAATATTCAGAGTTTTGGCCATTCTACATCTTCCTTTAGTATCTCTGATTTGCTTGGTAAACATCCTTTGGTTGAAGATAAAGAACCTTTGCAAAGAGAAAAATGCTTTTAAACACTCAGATCTTTTGCAAGCACCGGAGCCTTGCACAGACAAAATGTGTCGGTTACACTTGTATCTTAGCAACTTCCCCAACAAAGACCAAAGTTGAGAGGCAGGCAGGGGCCTGGTTTACAAATATAGAGCCATGGCATGGCCTCTGCCTTTGTGAGACCCAAAACACCCCCAAAACTTTCACTGAAAAAAGGATTTCTTTGTATCAGCATGAAGGCGCTCTGCTGCAGGGATGCTCGTGTAATAAAAGCAACGCCAGGCCATACTTGTTTTTAACACCAGACGCTTCTGTGTAGCCGTGGCTCCACACCGCTGGCGCTCCCGAAGCATCGCCGGCTGAAGGCTGGTCGATCTTGAAGCATCGGATATTGCTACATGGAGAAAGGAAAGGGGAAAGATGCAATGGATTGAAGTGATGACATGTTCCAGCTTAAAACACAAAGATAACAGCTTTTTTCCCTCCCAGTTCTTAGTAATACATTTAACAGAATAAAATGAAGCAGGACATCCGAAGTGGTTACTTTTATGTGTGTGTATACAAAGAACAAGCAGTAAATGACAGCCTCTCTGTCGGTGTCAGCTGCACTGTTCAGCTTAGCCCGCTTTTCTTTTCCCTGCCCTCACCCCTGAGCTATTTGTTTCAAACCTGACCCAGCAGGAAAAAAACAAGGCAAATTTGTCACAGGGGAATTTTTTTTTAATTTATGTATCTCTCTCACCTCTTTTAAGAACAAGTCTCTGGGCTCTTTTTATTGTACTCAAATGAAACCTCCTGCATGACCCACCCTATCCCTTAAATGGGGAAAGAAAAATTCTTTAGAAACATCAGTGGGTAGAAACAGCCTTCTGCCAAAATGCCCACAAACTCAAAATCCACCCCACCCTGGTCCTGCACCAACCTGCAAGAGCCAGCCTCGACAGTGAGCACAGTCCTTCTGCCTTCCCCAATTGTACAGACCAATTTTCACTCAGGCCCTTGATTCTCTGCCCTCCAATTTACTACCAACATAGCCTTTAGCCTGAATTTCAAGTATCACAAGCAGCATAGTGGAGACTTAAAAAGAGCCCAGCCCTCTCTGTTTATGCCCTTCTCTTCACAGCCCTGCTTGGCTGGGGAAAGCTGACCTCCCCTCTGCTCCCTACTGCTCTCTTCCAAAGGCAGGGAAAAGCAAGCTCCCCACACGCTGCAGACACTTCAAAGGCACCCGAGCCTTTCATGAACCAAATGAATCATAAAAGGACACAAGCAGAAGGGTTTAACTGTTCACTCTGAGCATTCATTTTTCTCTAGCCAAACCCCCACCTGACCTGAACACACAGAAAAGTCTTTTCAGCATTGCACAGCCTTCCTCAAATAACCCAAAGTACTGTCACATCCAGTTCGATTTCTTTTTAGGCTAATAGTCAGGGTGTACACCAGCGAGGCCAGATTAAAAGCAAACAAATTACATAAATAATGTTAGAACCACTGGTGCTTTAAGCCCTGGGTGTTGCAGCCATCTGTGACAAACAGGAGGCAAACATCTCCCCACGAGCATTAGAAAAGATTATCTGACCCCAAATCAAACTGGAAACCTGGGTCTCTTCTGGAGTAGCAGAGATTTTAACTCTGTCTCCACCTGCAAACCACTACACACACAAGCAAACACACTTTCTTCACAGACCTCTCATACAAGGCACTTATCTTACAGGGCACAGGAACTTGGATCAAAAGGGATCTTCTGTTTGTTTCTTTTTTAACAGAGTTGACTGACCCCTGGTTCCCGGGCAGGTCAATGACTCAGAGTTGTCTCAAGGCTTCCCAGCAGCGGTGGAAAAAGCCACCTCTACACATTAACTTCAGCTTCCTCAGTGCCACCACTACAAATAGACCACATTCCTGGACAGAAACGATATCCAGCAGCACATCCTATGCAGGCAGGATGGGCTAAGGATTCTGGACAGCATGGTTTGTTTTGTCCTTAATTTTAAACTCCCATTACATCTGAACTAGATGCTATTTCCTAAAAACCTGGGTAGCAGCATCTCTTCTTTTTTATTTCACTGCTACTGAAAATTATTACAAATGAATCATCCTCCTAAGCATGCAAGCCTCCTTTAAGATCTCCATATATATTAAAAAAGCAAGCATGCATGACAGGACTCTTCCTCTCAGCAGCACTGAGAATACATATTAACCTACTACCTTCTTGAATCCTGCCAGGGCGCAGATGGAGAGCTGCCTATCTCATGCAGAAGGAAGATATAAAAAGTACCAAGTGCACAAGTATTTTTGTGCCTGCCACAAAAAACCAAGTGAAGGGAGCACCTCCTCCTTCACAGTCAATTATAGCAGTATACCACAGAAAGTCAGTGCAGTTTATCAGGGCTGACACTAAGAAGCCCCTTGGGAGGTCTGAAACACCTGACTGTGGCTAATGAATATTAGGAAAGAGAACAGACCTGAGGTCTTAAGAATAATTTCTTAAAAAAAAAAAAATAACCAAAACTCACTCACAAGAGGAAAAAAAAAAGTTTTCCGTGAATTAAAGACAATGCATATGATAGTGAAAATATGGCACGTAACTGGGCCACACTACTCTTCTGCTATTCAGGACTTAAATCTGTACAATAATGCTATGGGGCATGAAGCCTGAATACTTAAGTGGCAAGAGGCTGGCTTGTCCATGTCATCTGCTGGGTTATACACAAGAAAAGCTGATCTTTCACTTTAAGTTTTGACACAATTCAATTAGCTTTGTAATATATCTATCTTTATAGATATGTATTTTCCTATGAACCAGAGCAACATTACACACTGCTTCTTCAGGAAGGCTTCCTGTATACAATAAAGCAGCTCTTAAAACAGAGGAACACCTCTTTTCTTCCGCTGTTGCAGAGTGTTGACTCTTCTTTTTATCGACAAACACTCATCATTATTCAAATTTCCACTTAAATTTGATAAAACCTGCTGATTCAAGCTAAAAGCAAACTCACACTGTAAGTTTCCCTCGTCGTCACAACAGATGAGGTTTACTACTCCAGTGACTGACCTTAGCCATTTAAAAAGCAAAGCACATGAAGCAACTGCTCAACTCTTAAAAAGTAAATCCACCCTTCCTGGAATCATTCAATTTTTAAGGATCAAAGAGAGTTAATGCAGTTCCCTTCAGAACACAAGGAAAGCTCAGTGTAGCACCACTATCCACATATGATCTGCTTTAGTGCAAGAGTTTTCCAACACACTGAAAAGGGAGGCACAGGGCACTCAGCAGATTTGAGTTACAGGTGATGCTTAAGTCCCAGGGCAGGTAGATGAGAAGGAAACAAAGGGTCCCAAAAGCAAGGGAACGAGCTCTGCTGCAAGCAGGGTGAGAGACCTGAGTCTTCAGCAGAGTTTTTAATGATGAAAAACAGAAATATATATATTTCTAGAACAAAAGCAGAGAGATATGAAGGGTGACAAGAAGTAGCATGTGCAACAGTGAAGACAGACCAAAGCAGATGAATGCGAACAAAAGAAATACAATAAGCAGCTACTACCATCTCAGTGGTGAAATAAAATAAGTATTTTGGTAGAATTTAATGTCAGAAGTGAAATGGAGATCGAAACTGGCCCAAGAGCAGTTATACCAGGCTAGCAGACCCCTTCAGGTTTTACAACTGAAAACAATTGCCCTGAAGTGGGTAAAGTCATCCTCTTTAATGAAGTACTAATTTCTGAACGACCCATACAATCCCTCACTTTGTGACCCACAGACAACAGGGAGCCATACTCCTTGAGGAGATTTACCTTCCTCTGTATTTGGTTTTGTCACACCCTAGTGACAGGGGTCGCTCTGCCCCCTCCCAACTCTGTAGGGTAACTTACTTCAGCAGCTCTAGGGTTTTGTGATCCAAGGCTAATCTGGGATTTCCAGTCAGGTCCAGCTCTTGTAGCTTTGGAGGCAGGTTTTCAGGCAGTGTGATTTCACTCAGTTCATTGCAGCTTAGGTCCACACACTGCAAAAGGAAAGCAGCCAAGTAAGCAAGAGAATTCAGCTGTCATCGAGATCATACAATTGTTGATTAAATGTAGTAAGGCATGTTTCATGAACAATAAAGGCTGCAATTGAGAGCTACGAACATTCATTTAGGTAAGTGGCTCTTGCAAATAAAACTTTCATATGGCATTTAGCCATTTTCCCAGATGCTTGGGACACCTAGAAATATGTTCCCTCTATTTCCATCTCTGGCCAAGTGTCATCCTGTTACAAAACTAGTAAGGTTTGTCTGTTCTTCACAGAGACAAGGATGGTCAGTTTATTTTCAAGTATTTAAGAAAAAACGTTACTGATGAAAACAGCTGCTAGTCTTTTAATGGATATAGGAAATGGGAGAGAAATACAATTGGGGCTTCTAAACCGCGAGCAAGCAGTCCCTCCTCCAAACTCAGTTTAAACCAGCAGAAGTACGAGCAAGTTCTCAGGAATTCAGAATTTACTGAGGGATATTAAAATAAGCAGTGTTATAAATGCATGTGGCGAGGAGGAGTAGAGGGGGAAAGGAAAAACATGTTAGAGAAGCTTTGAACGTGGTTTGTCATTTTAGATGGATTCCTATTTAAATAAGCAGTCAATAAAATGAGTGGAAAAAAATTAAAGCTCAAACATTTCAGAAAACAGAAGATACAAAACAGCAGAGAAACTTGCTAGCTCTTCACTCAATAAGCATAAATTAGCTCGAAGAAGTGCACTAAAATGACAAAATCCCCAAACAAACATCATTTAAAGGTGCATGTCCAGACAAAAGACAATGCACAGGGAAAACTACGGCATTTTAGAACAAAACCAACTCTTCAAAATCTATTACAGGGCCACCAGTGTAGCATGTATCAAAAAATGCAAAAAAAATTTTGAAAGGACAGAGCAGGCTGGTATTTAACAAATGACAAGAACTATCCACACCTTTCAAAAGAGAATTTTCTACTTTCAACCTGCAAAAAGAGAAAGACTTCAAAAACTTTAATAAGAGAGAAAGCTAGAAGGGGCAGGGGAGATGCATTTTGACCATTATGTAATTTCCAAGAGACACTTTCATTTTTGTAGGAATATTCGAAGTAATTGGGTCCTGAGCTGGAAGAAGGCATAAGATAACCTAGTGCAGTCTGGAAAAGAAAAATCTCCTAACCCTTTATTAAGTATACGCAGTGGAAATAATACATTTCCAATCCACATCTTGAATCCTGAGGCTGTCCAGTATGGGGGCCTCATTATCTAGGAAGAACAAACCGCTGACGTTATCTAAGCCTGATAAGGAAATCAGAGTTTAAATCTGTCACGAAAACAAAACAGCGGACAGCTCAACAGAAGTTACTCCAGGAGCTTTCAACAGAAGTTACTCCAGGAGCTTTTTTCCTCTACGCAACTCCTCGCCCCTTCCAGAGAGCCAGAAATTACTGTGCAGATGAAAGCAGCTGCCAGCGGGCCTTGCTGTGCTCAACACCTCAATGCCATTATGGATGTGACGGGAGAGTGTGCTGGAATGAGGAGTACAAAAGAAATGGGTAATTTCAGTGTTCTCATTAAATGCACAACATGCCAAAGGTAGGGACGCTCCACAGGGGACCCCTTGGTCCCCAGGCACTAGTGAAGACAGCTTACTCATCAGGTTAGGATTTCTTAGACTTTATTTGTACTGTTTGAAGAACAGGCAAAGAGGGACTTTCTGCATATCTACATTACATTTAGTCCTTATCCTACTCCCCAGCAAGCAGGAAAGCGCATTTCCTAACTGATCCAAATTTCCTCATGCGTTATTTTAACACAAGCTGGTGTTGCCCCACCCGTGCAGCGCCAGAAGAACAACTCCTGCAACTGCACACAGCATTTTGTACTGGATGGGCCAGCTGGAGAGCAGGGTTTAATATTCACCTTTTGCTTACAACGCATCTACAGCTTTGTGACTGTTTTCTTCAAGGCTGGGTAGAACTTGAGTGATCTCCAGCCATGACTGAAGGTGGACATACCAACACTGCTCTATTTAACCAGGAGAAAAACTAGCAAAGTTTGAGAGTTTCATCTTTAAGATGATACTGCTACTAGATCTCCACTTACTTCAGATCTCAAGGTAATGCTCCTGTGAAAGAGAAGCTTGACCCAAGCCTGTGACAAGAAACCTCTGTATCACCCTCGCCATAGCAGCCCAGCAAGACAACCACAAAAGAGAAGCAACTGATGGGCCAACAGAAAAAAAAAAAAATCAGATGATTGAGTAAAGCCAAGTCCCAGGTGGAAAAAGCAAGCCTGGGTCACTGAGCTCTGCTCAAGCAGCAAGGACTACTCAGCTGTTTGACTGCAAAAGAACACCAGGATGCTGGGTAACAATTTTAGAAATGCCCTTTTTTATTTTTGTAAGTCAAGGAAACTGAAGTCAAACGACAGCTGTAAGGAAGAGTCTGCTGGGGCATCGACTCAGATGCCTGAGCTTCCAGCTGCTCGGTCACTTGCAGAAGACACTGCAGCGTGCACAGAAAAACCTACCTCTGACGGTATAAAAAACTGTCACAAAGTACAATAAAAGCCCTAAAAATGTATTGTATAACTTACCTCAGTGACATCCGCCTGGCTCTAAGACAAAGGACAACACATAACTTCTGTAGCCTTGACCGCAGCGTGTAAAAAAGGCTTAGAGACAACTGTATGACTAAAACAACCTTGTATTTGGACATCCTAGAGTTATTGCAGTGTAAAAGCATCATCATTTATGCTACCTTTCCTTCAGAAATTATTTGAGACAGCGCAGTAACTGCTGCTACTAACTGTTTTAGTATCACTGACTCCAAAAACATAGCATGTCAGAACAAAAAGAGAACAGCCATTACCTCAGGTAACAGAGTTTCCCAAGAAGTTTAGTGTTTGAGTGCCACTCGAACTAAAATTAGCCATCAGATATGATATAATCACAGAGGTGACATGAGACTACACAACTCTGTGCTTTGTTAAAAGCAAACTCATGTTACCCAATGACCACATCCACACTCAAACAATAAATTCTGAACTTGCTTTGGCACATTTTGAATGCTCTCACGTACCCAAGAAGGAGCTCCAGTTATAGCTAAGTAACAGAGATAGCCAGGGAGCACAACCTTGACCTACAAACTGATGAACACCAAGCCCGACCTAGAGAAGTCACCAAGAGGCCAGAAGAACCCCTATGCCCAACAAGGCACCTTCCCACCTGGCAACTGTATGAACTCACCTTGCCAAGCCAAAACCAGCCTTGAGTACAGACCGAGCATTTTCTTTCCACAAAGGTGCACTCCTACAGCACTGTGCTCTCTTAGACAAAGTCATGCAGGCTACCCTTGCAGTCCCAAAACAGTTAATGGCACCCATGCCTTTTTCTTCTGCTAAAGAGAACTGAATAACTGTAGGGAACCATCAGGAGGAAAAATTGCCAGGTCTTCCAAGAACATATTTCTGCTAAGTATTATGTCAGAGTAGCACTTTAAATGCCCACGCTTTTATAAGCATTCAGCTTTCCCCAAAACACACGAACAAAAGGGAAAAGTTGATTGTTCCCTATCAGCGTGTTTACATTAAACTAATTTCTTTTTCTTTTGGTTAACACCACCCTCGCATTTTTAAAGCAATGTTTATGGCACAGAGCCTCACTCCCCCACCCCAATTCTTCCTCTAAGAAAAAAGGCTTTGCTTCTGATTGATTCTAAATGGCCCTTGGCTTCCTGCGGCCATTGTTCCAAAGAGGGAGGAGTATCCAAAACCCGCAAGTTTGTTTGAGATTTCCTGGCTAAGACCACAAAGCTCATCTTTACGTGCACTCGCTGTCCAGCAGAATTATTGCTCCCGCTGCTCTGCCTTACCCCGGACACTGAGGCACACAGGGCAGTGTGGGAACTCAGCCTTTTGACTTTTCGGAGTGCCTGAAGGACACTTAAGTTGTTTTGAGCCCGTGAATAGGTACTCATTTCTCAGCCTCAGGGGATGGCAAATTTTCCTCCGTATCACAAGATTTGAATGCTGTGAGTTAACTGTCTCCCAGCTTTGGTCAGCAGAGAAGAGCACACAGTGTGAAATACGCTGCACTAGAGCCAGGTGAGAAGCAGGAACTTGATTCACAAAAGGTAAGTAGCAGCACTCCTCAGCATGGCCAAGGTAAGAACGTGTCCCACTGAAATAGGTGTCAGGAAAAGTACAGAATTACTGCTGGAAACGCACACAAGAGACGGATTAAGCATTCCTCCGCTTGTGCAAAATATGACTGCAATTAGGAAAATTAAAGTAGCTTGCCTGAATACTCAAATCCTGTGCTCCTGGAATTTATCTCTGTCCCCAAGGCCTATTCAATTTTGCAGCTTCAGCGGTTTTGAACACGCACTCTAGACAAAGTCCATTCCTACACAATCAACCAATTGCCAAGGCAGCAAGAGTTAATTACGCATAGCTCTTGCCAAATGTTTCAGTTCTATCGTAACAGACTGTCACAGGAAGACAATTAACACTTATTTGGCAGAGAAGATAGGATGTGGTGAAGGTGAGCCTAATATCAGATGTTGAGGCTGCTCTTCCCTTCCGCTGTAAGGCAGCACAGGGGCGAATATTTTGCATATGACCTCAGAGGAGAAAGCAGCTGTCAGATCTCTGTAACTGCTGAGAATACACTATCCTGAAGCAATGAGAGACCTGAGGGGAGAATTGGTAAAGCTGCATTATATTTGCTTCATCCAAAGCACTTTCACTTCTTACCTTTATTTCAGAAAGCTGCATGACTTCTGGGAAGACTTCGATGCAGTTGGAGTGAGCAATTACAGTATGCATACGTCTGCAGTTCATGATGGTTGTTGGAATGGCTTTCAGTTTGTTCCCACTAATATCAATTTCCTCCAACTCTTCCAGCTTGGCCATTTTGCTACAAAAACAGTAACTTTTTATTTTAATAGACATGTGTATTTTATTTTGAAGTGGTGATAAGAGCAGTGGTTTTCATTATTTTCAGAAAATAAAATTGCAGATTTTGGTCCTTGTTCACAGCAGTGCCTGTCACCTCTCCTCACATCAGATGCTAACACAGTTGTGGAACAAAATGTGTGCTGCTTCTATCAGTGTTTTGTTAATGCTGCTTCTCAAGTTACTTATTTTCTTACATCCCCCCTGCTCACCAGCTCACTTTCACTTTTTTCCCCTCCTTTCTTCTCCTTCCTTTCAACCCTGGTCTCTCATTTCACCCCAAATATTCCTTTCCATCTTCTGCCATCCCACTCAGTCCTTCCCCTGATTCATCTCCGCCCCTCCCTTGCCATTGAAGCCCAGCTGCTCAGAACATCACACAAGGACAGAGATGTCTCTTCCTTTATTTATTGGCATCTCTTTTCCAAGGTTGCACCCCGTCAGCTTTACAGCACATCTTACACTTGAAAGATTTCTGATTAAAACAGAGTGAATTGAAAGCATAGAAACTGCTGCCAAGGCAGAATCTCCTTCTGGGGCGACAGAATTTTTCCCCAGTGGAGTTCAGCCCACTTCCAGAGGACATTTCCAGTCTGCCATGCTCACAAATCTCTCGTAAGAAGCCCACCAGGTGTAAGCACAGTGACCAAGCCAGAGAAAAGGGAAGACCTCCTTGCTTGGCATCAAAAGTGTACTGCGCTCATGCTGACTCAGTCCAGCCAAAAAGCATTTCAAGCCCAACCAAAACAAGCAGCACTCGCTTGTCTGCGTAATGCAAGAGGGCAGCAACGTGCACGGGGGCATAGCAAGTGAGTCCACCCTCTGCAGTATCGCTGCGTTCAAAACACAGCCTGTGCCACCCCATTTCTGTGCAATTTAGTTCTCGCTGTGAAAATGTTTCGTGATGCCCACCCACTGGTGGGCCAGAGGCAGCGAAACCACTTACTTACCTCGCAGGGAAGCTCTGTAGGCGATTGTAAGCCATGTGCAGGATTTTCAGGTGGGGATGGCCCGTTAGCAAGGGTACACATTTGTCTGTGAGGTTGTTATTGGTCAAATACAACTCCTGCAAGATGCTATGGGTTTCTTCAGAAAGAGTGGCTGGAGGAAGCATTTCCAGTTTGTTGGCAGAGGCATTAAGAAATCTCAGGCTGCAAACAGAAGTGGCATAAGGGAGTTCAGTGAAACATCCTGTGGGTTTTGTCTAGAGGTATAAATAAAAATCTCTATAGTCTAGCATTGCATGAGCAAAGCTTCTGATCACATTTTTAAATGAACGCATTTGTACGAACAAAATCAGCAAAATGAGTACATCAAAATGTCTCTATCCCCTTATCAAGACCTCAGTACCTCCAACATTACTACAGATGTACCTACAGGTAAGAGCAATAACAAACCACATAGTTTCCATATTCATTCCACATAAAAATGAATTCTGAATGAATCATCAATGAAGCATGAGAGTACTGCTACCCTTCAAGTGACTAAAAGAAGTCATTGGCCAAGGCCAAGGCCATTGGTCATAGGCCAGCCAATTTTTCAGTATTTTAAATAGTGGCTAGGTTGTAGACACTATTTTGTGTCAACCTGCAGACCTGAAAGCAGCTACAAAATATGAAAAAGTACTCTTTGAATATTTGGATAACTAAAGATGCACCAATCACAGAAAAACCTGAGACCAGGTAGTAATTAGCCTTTTATATTTCAAAGGGAGACAGCACTAATACTAAATTACATTTTAAACTTTATGTATTTGCTTGCTGATATATGCAGGAAGACAGCCAGATCTCTTCTCTACCTCCCGAGTGCCCTTCCTCTACTCCCCAGAGGAGCAGAAGCTCTCGTCATTATTTTCTGCAGTCCCACCGCAAGCAGCCAGGACCGAAGCAGCACAGAAAGGAAGTTACTCTTTCTCCCTCAAAGGACATTTTCCAGAATGGGAACAAGACCTGCTGAGGTACAGGCACTGCCCACTCCTGCCAGTCAAGTGCTCCGGGCAGAAGGTTCACGTTTCTTCAGAGGAGTTTGGTAATCACAGCAGTGCTGGAGAAATGCACACTGTAAGCATCTTGAGGGCTAGAATTCACACAAGCAACTCCAAAGAAATGGAAAAACAAGGCTATTTATCCTTTAGTAACCAACTCTGGCACAACCGTGCCTTTTCAACAGAAATAAGACCTCTCTCTTCCTTCCTCCTCTTTTAGAAAAGGCTGCCTTGGAGAACCCACGATACAGAAGTGAGTGTGTGCCTGCCAGTCTGCAGCAGGCGCATTCAAACCAGGCAGTGGGCAAAGCTGCGCTCAAGTAACAAGGCTCCAATGAGCTGCCTGAACCCTACAAAGCCACTGATCAGAACACAAAAGGTAGGTGCGCTCCTGTCACCGATCTGAAGAGAAAATGATGAAATATTGATAGCTTCTCCCATGCATGCAGGAATCTACAGGACTAACCTTTAAAGCCTACTAATGAATGAAATGGATTTGCAAGAGTTGCAGCTGGTTGAAACTTGCTCAGTGGCAAACAAGGGTCAGACATGCTACAGAGGAGTCACGTGGAATGCCAAAGGATTAAAAAAACCCCACCATTTCCATTAGAAGCAAAAATCTCTCAGCGCTGCACAGAACTGAAACTAGGTTAGCTGTTTTACACAGACATGAGGAGTCTACTTTGGAGAAACACAGTTTAATCCTCAGGCTCATTCATTATTCACAAGGGTGGTAAAACTCCAGGGGAGGAAGGGAGGATTAACACAGAGAAGGGAATAAGCAACTGAAAGGGTTTTGAAATTATTTATTTACTCTAAAAAGATGCTGCTCAATTTCACCCTTTAGCTAAAAACTAAAAATATGTTAAGCTCATTCAAAGTTGGATTATTAAACTGAAGCACACCACATCAATGGTTCTTGTACTTAATTAAACACCAGCAAGCACATTGGTGAAGTACAGACAACTACTACTTTGAGAACTTCAATCCAATATACATGATAGTCTTCTCTCTCCACAAAAAGGGACTTTGATTAACGTTAAAGCCATGATATCTTTTGTACCACTCATAGCACAAAATGGTTGTCTTCAGCTCAGCCTCAAAAGGCTTAAGTAATAAAAAGGTTTAAGGCTGCTGGGAAAAGTGAACTTTCACAGGAATGTGATGGGGATGAGGAGGTGGCAGCAAAACATCCCCCCAAAAGGCCATGTTCCTCTGTCCTGAAGAGGAATCTGTATTTCACTTATGTTCTTGCAAGCTGCAGCAGAATAACCTGGAGTGCTTCACAGGTACCTTCTTTTAATAACCAGATAACCTAAAGAGTATCCTACGGCTATGAAGTTCAGAAGAATGTAAGTTTGCTCAAGTACAGCTAGCCCAAAACACCGCAGAAAGCTTCCAGTAAGAAACGGTACAGTGCTCCAATAAAGCTGAAATTAATACAGTCTATTACACCAAAGCCATTTTAAAGTCAAAAGAAACATGAATCAAACAAAAGTTCTTCTGTTTTTAATAAACTTTCAACACTGGTGAAATACAACAAGAAATTTCAAGCTGCTCCCTCACTGGTATTAACACTGGCCAGAATCTGCGTATTACTGCCAAAAGTAAGTTTTGATGCATATATCTTCCAATGGGGAAAGGAGAGAGGAGAGCTGTTGCTCTGCACCGCCCTGCCCTTTTGCCAAATCTCACAGCGAGTGAGACAACAGTGTTGGAAATAAATCCCCATCATCCTGACCTTCGGTTTAGCACCTTGGTGTGAACAAGATTTAGGTGTGAACAAGGTTTAGGTGGCTGGCAAAGTCTTACAGCAGTCTAGAAGGGGAACTCTGTGGTAGCAGGGTGTCTCACCCACCCCACACATAACCATTCACAGCGGGGTAGCGCTGAAAAGTCAGGTTCAGGATAGTCACACACTAATCTCTGTCTGTAGTTGACATCAGTAGAGATAAATTAACTTTTCTAAAAAGAGTATGCTGCTTATTTACATGTTCCTTTTGAGCAGCTGCTACATTAAAATGGTAAAAACATTCTCAAATGATAAATCTTTGAAGATATCTGGATTTGGGGGGGGGGAAGGGACACTGTTCTTCGAGCATGGAACAGAATGAACCAGCAGATTGTTACTGCCAAAGCTTTGTTATGTCTGTGCTATAATCTTATGTAAAAACCAATAAAAATCTGTACTTGCCCATCAAGTTTTCTCCTCACACTGACTTAACACAGAAGTCCTCCTCCAGGTTATTTCCACTCCCCTATTTCTCCATCCCCATGCAACGTGCCAGCTGCTACCTTAGAAGGCACATCTTACAAATGCCCTCCAGAGGAGTGGAAATTTACTTGGGCACAACTGTTCCCATCTCTCCTGTGCATGGACTTAAGCTGATTCATGTTCCTTGAAGATATCCCACTCGTACTGCTTATCAGATGGAAGCAGAATGTCAAGCATTAAAGCTCAGTCCAAAATTAATTGTTTCCCTTTCCAATTCCACCCACACACTATACCACAAGCTCATGAAAAAAGCACAGCAACACTACAAAAACCCGAATTCAGCAGCTTGTGCGCATACCAGAGTATAATATAGCGAGGAGAGCATGAATTAACAAGTACTAAAAGCGTGTCAGAGATTAGGAAAGAAACGAAGGCGCTGGCAGGGAGATGCCAGTATTCTTCGGCTTTGAGAAGGTGCAAATTCTCCTCTGGGGTAATAATATAAACATTGATCTCCTCTGGAATAAGTCACCTTCGGTTTTATGACATATTAAAGTACAATCCCTTGCTGGATTCAACTTCTCCAAGAGACAAAATAGAAAAAAAAAGACTGTCCCAAAGCATAGGCTAGAATCAAGGATGTGGATTTCATTCAACAAGATATAATATGCAGTCACATCCAGGCCCTACTTAAACCCAGAGGACTCTGATCTCAATTTGAACTTCCAAAAGCAGAGAAAGAAAATCTTCTACAGAGAACTGCAAAAGGTTTGGTATTTTTAAACACCGTTGCCTACCTCATGCACACACAAAAGCTGAATACAGACAACTGTGAGGATACAACAGACAAACGTGAGGATACAACATCTCCCAGCTCCTCATCGTTTTCTGAGGTAGCCTGGCAAACTTGGCTTGGTGGTAAGACACAGCCACCACTGAAAAAGTGTTATGTCCTCCAAAAAGCTTAGGAATGTTCAACATTAAAACACAGACAACTGCACCCAATGGCGAAGCAGCACCAAATCAAAACCACTGTGCTTAGCTTCAAAGTACTGATAAGAGTTGGAAAAAATTCTGCAGCTGCAAAAAGAAATACACAATCAAGATCTCCAGCTTGGCCTGTGCCCCAAGATCTCCATCAGCACAGAGCAATCAAAATACACAATTTCTTCTTCAGTCCCTTCTGCAGAGACATGTCCTCAATTTCTGATCGCCTAATCCTAAAATAATTTATGACTGTGGTAGCAGGTGTGTGAGGAACAATCCCGTAAGCCAAGGGTGTCCAGGGGGAAAAGAAAGAGGGGAAAAAGAAACCATCAAGGCAGTTTTGCCAGCCTGTACAGAAGAAATTTCTGCTCCTTTAAAATAAATGAAAGGCTGGAAACATTCAAATGAATCCCCTTCCTGTTGATGGGCTGCCAAAAACACCAATTAGCTGCTGCTGTCCCCTCAGCTCTTACTTTCTAACCTATCTTTAGCTGTTCCAGTAAGTGGGATCTCCCCAGTTTCTCATATCTGCTAGCAAACAGCTAAGCATTTCTGCAACAAAAGTATGCACATCAAACACTCAAATAGCTCTCTGCATTCATTTGAATTTGTTTCCTCCCTCACTTTTCTTGCATCCAGGATAGGATTGAGTACTTGTACCAAAAAGCAGCATTCACAGTGAGTGGAAATGGCAAATACCAAACAAAAGCAAGTTTAACTGGGTCACTTTTCAGAACTCCAGCAAAAAAAAACCACAACAAACCCAAACAACTCAACCAAACAATCTAAAACAAATTAAACCAAACCAAAACAAGCAAACAGAAAATCAAAACAGATAAGAGCAGCTGAACAAAGCTGAAAACAAGAGCCTGGATGGCCTCTGAATAGCTGACAGGCTCAGCCACCACAGCTGGTCACGATCAGACACTGCAGAACAAAGCCCATGGTTTCAGCTGCGCACATCACAGCCTCACATCTCCACCACACAACTGCTTTAAGGAGTCCCACGGCTGTTTTAAGGGTTTAGACTGGAAACACTCACGCTGACTGGAAAGGAAGCTTAGGCAAGAGGCAAACCCTCGTCCTTCACCACTGCATCTCCATTTTTTACACCCCTCTGACTACTGTCACTGCTTTTCTACCATACCCAGCTAAAGCTCTTCAATGCTTGCTTATCTTAGCCGAAGAATATTTTGTACAGCAGTTTTCACGCCATTAAACAGTGGTTTGCTGCAAGCTGGTCAAGGAAGGCAATAAAAAGCCTGTACAAGAATCAGACAGAGTGGGAGAAACATGACAACAGATGAAGGAGCGGATAGCAAGCTGCAGGAAAGCAGGGGCACAAAAAAAAGGGTCGGGACTCAGCTTGGGAGTTTTCCCCATCAGCCATAGCACTTGCATGAATTCTCTTCTTTTGCAGCATCTGGTAATGAGAAATGAAGAGATTATCTGGCTGCCTCTGTGGCGCTCATCTTGCCAAGAAAATCCCCACCCTACAAGAGAAATCCTTGCTAACATGATCAAGATGTGCATACTTCCAGTGCAATAAACAGAACCAAGATCTGTCTCGGTCAGAGAAACGTTTCACAGGCCAGTTCTACATTTCTCCTTGAGTAACAATTTAAAATAGAAAATTAATTAAAGAGGACACCAACAAAGTATCCCTAAGTTATACTCTTCAACTGAGAATGACACCTTTTCATTGATTTTTTGGAAGGATTAAGGCAGAAAAGTAATGTTCATTGAGTCTTCTATGAAGAGAACAGAGGTTTTTCAGTATTTTTTCCTTTTTTTCGGTGAAAGTGGTATTTTTCTCTTGGTGCACCAATTTCTCTCCCTTCCTCAGATGTTCTAGATGTCAAAGCCCACCAGCACTTGTGCTGAAGTTCGCCCAAGGCACTTCTCACCCACTTCGTCAAATATTCAGGACTGAGACAGAGAAAGCGTTTATAATTCACAGCATGAGGCTTCATATCCAGGCAAGATATCACCTGTCAGTTGCACAGACCCGAGCACCTTCCCAAAAAAATAATCTCATCTTTTCAAGGCCGCAAAAGGTAAATCATTTTATAGAGAGAGAAAGGTTCTGTAAGGTACAGTGATTTGTTCAACATTACACGCTAGGGAGAGACCACGGCTGACCGCTCGGGAAACCCAGTTCTCTTGGCACGTCTGGCAGCACAGATTGTGCTTCCCAGGGACTGCTTGGAGAAGAGAAGCCTCTTACCTTTTTAAAACAAAACAAACCGAACCCCTAAACACTTTTCCCTGACCCAGACCCATTTCTGTTGAAGCTTAGCTGCTGACAGATGCAAACACTGGAAAACGAAATAAAAAGAAAGAAAAACTTGAAGAAACTTAAAACATTGTGCACTAATCTGCACTGCTGTTTTCCTTCACGGTTACTTCTGCAGCAGCAGTAGTAGGAGCACCAGTCTGGCCAAGACCCTGGTAAGCGCAGTCATCTAAACCCCAGTAAAGGGGTAGGGAACAAGGGGGCAAACCCCACCTGAGCCAACTGGTTCCAGCATCACCACAGACCAAGGAGGCTGCAGTGGCGATGAGATGCCAGAATGGGCCGGCTCCGTTTACCTCCTGTGACAGTACCTGACTTTGTGAATGCTCACAGAAGATATGAAAAACGCGTTCCCTGTACTGCTTGAAAGCTGCAGAACGTCAAAGCTGCAGAGGAGAAAAAAACCCCAAGTCTCAGCCATTTATATATCCTGTTATTCAGTATATTTTTCAACTCTACCTCTTTTCAGCACACATTCAGCATCTTCAGGAAATCTACCCCCAATTCTGCTTTTAGTCTGTACTTGTTCATTTTAGCATCACAAAAATATAATGAAAAACTGTCTACAGTTTTGTAGCTCAGTTTAAACAGATGAGTTGAAGTACAAAAATTTTATTCAGGTTCCTTCTCACTGCCAAAAACACACTAATCTACATCCTAGGCCTACAAGCTGTTTTTAGTAGAAATTTTACGAAGTTATTTCTCTCTCTGTTTTCAAGGATGCCGGTAGCTTTCTGAAACTTATTTAAAGGTTTCTTTCCTTTCTAAGTTAACAGATAGAAATTTCAACTTGGGACCTGTAAATAGGATTTTATTTATTGACGTGATTTTGCAACTTCCTGTAAAAAAGCTTTTTACAAGGTTTCACTTCTGAAGTTCATACAATCTTACAAACTTTAATGTACCACAGTTTGAAGAGTCATACACAAGACAATTACAGCCACTGATGTGAAACATCCCTGCCACATGAGCAGGCTGTGAATTTCACCACTTTTAAATAGAAATAGGCTAGATAATTGCAATTATTGCAGCAGCAACATTGTTATGTTTCAATACTTTGACTGCGCTTTCATGTAAAGTCTCAGCTGAAACTGTAAATTAACATCAGAGTAACTTTGCTGATAATCAGTTTGTTCCAAAGGTGGTACCCTACACAAGCTTGAATGTGGACAGGTATGCAACAGTGGCGCTAAAAAAAAAACTAAAATCAAAGTACAACAATTACTTTAAAGGTTCTTTAAAGCAAATCGAGGCTGAAATGAAATTCCTAGAACCAAAAACACATCCTAGTAAAGTTCACCTTCTGAAAGATAATTTTTAACTGAAATGATGAATTCCTCAGAATGTTACCGTTCAAGAGTAAGCCAAGTTAAGAGTCCATTTAGAAATCATCTCAACTGCAAGCCTATTTCTCCAGCTCCCAGTGCTGCGAATCCCAGGAAGTGTAACCAGAGGGTCAGGACAGAATGAACAACAGTATACAGGCAGAGGTTTCGCAATACTCTTAATTGGGTGAGGAGCTGTGGCAGTGAGATCACTGCTCCTCTTGCTTCTCTACCGCTCAGGAAACCCAGGAGCTGTGTTCCTTTTGTCACAGTCAGGATCAGAAATAAAACCCCACAGCACACAGTCTCGCTGTCTGTTAAATTATGCATGGGGTGAACGCTCAGCAATGCCATGACTATTTGTGGAAGTGCAGAGGTCCAAGGAACACTGACATCAAATGGGGCAAAGCCCATCCACCATCCCCAGACTATGCTACCAGCCCTCCCTTATTTCAGTCACAACCATTTTACAGGGTATCTTCATACTAGGCAAAAAAGATGACGAAGACCAAAGAAGCAGCAGCATAAAAATAAGAATCTAGGAAACGGATCAAGTGGTGACACCAGCTAAATTAGTGACAAACATTTGAAAGGCATAAAAAATTCACAAAGCAAGGACAGGGGAATAACTGAGTTATTCTGACAGCCTTATGCACAGATTTTGTTTTGTTTGACAGGTATAAATAAGTTCTAGCCTCTGACTGAAGGGAAAAAAAAAAGCTTTCACACTCCATCAAACAAGCCTGAGAAATATGTATTTAAAGAAACTGCCACGAACCCATCTCAGTGTATGTAGTAGAAAATAGCATGTGCTTCACTTTACAGCTAGATTGCAAGATGTAGGTGTTCAAAAGAAGCAACCATATAAGGCAACAAAACCAGAATTAAAAGATTGTGTTTTGGTGACATGGGCAGACATCTGTTCTTACCACACAAGGCTTGGCAACTTCCAAATTAGGGGAACCTCAGATTACCCTTTCAGTCAGGAAGTAACACACAAAGCAAGGTTCCTTACACACAAGGCGAGATCAAAGCTCTCTGTACTTACCTGTCTGCTTTCAAGAGCAGGTTGGATGGCAGTTCAAGGAGCTGGTTGTGTTGCACATCCAGGACTTCCACTTGCATTCGCTCGAGCCTATCTGGGAGCCTTCCTAACAAGTTGTGTCCTGCCAGCAGCTTGCGCAAGCTACTGTTGTAGAACAACCTTAGGGAAATAAAAATCACCAAAAATGAGAAAAAAAAAATCTACACCGAAGAGTTGCATTCAGAATTTAAGTGCGGTATCACAGTTCATCACAAGAAAGTGGTTCAGTTGATCGATTAGCGGACACAGTATTAGTTACGCACAGATCCAAGAATACCTTCCCACTCTCCACCAACTTCTTAAAAAGGTTGTTCAGAGACAGGGCAGGAGATTTAAGGATGATTCAGGAGTGAAAGTAGTGAGAAAGAGTTCTTATTGCACTGTATAAAACATGAATACAGCAGCACAACAGCGAAGGAGGTAATTACTAACAATGGCTGCTGGAAAATGCATCTGTTGGTTCTCCCTGGCTAATGGGCCAACTTCACAAGTGTGGGTGAAATCACCAGTCACCCCACAAGCTTTATAGTTCTCTATTCACCATGTGCTGACTCATAATCCAAGGCAACTCCCCACCCCCCCAATTTTCCTTTTCTGTTAATACCAGACTAACATAAAGCCTCCTTTCCAGTCCTACAGCAATGAAATTTATCTAATCGGCTTTACTTTCTTGAGCTTTGACAAGCAATAGATGACCTACAGTTCCACCCCCCTGCTCCATTTTTTGGGAGGGTGGAGGAGGAGAGGGAGAGAAGTGGGCAACATAAAGAGACAAGAACAAACAGCTGTTTTGAACAAACAGTGAAACTAAAATTTGCAGTATAAACAACATAAGAAGTTTAAAATCTGCACCTGAAGACCACAAAAATGGAGCAACTCTCAATTTTGAACAGGAACCACTTCCAGCAAATTAAGAAGAAAAAAAAGATTATTCTTTATCTGCCACCTGTCTTACATTCCTCGTACCGCGCTGTTTAATCTGGCGAGCCTGTGCATCATGCTGACCTGTTTCAAAGACTCTCAAATTACTCAGCATTAAAGCAAAAATCTCCTTCCCTCTGTCACAATGACCCAAATACACATAAAGAGCCTCTCCATGCACCCCCCTTCCCTACAATACATCAGGTCATTGGATTATTGTGCCAAAATAATCAATGAAGTATGCAGAGTATTTCTCCCTCGACAGATACCGTCACCCTCCCTGTCTGTGTGCCAGTGTTAACAGCTATCTCAGTTGGCTGGGTCGGCCGCGTCCTGACCGCGGATGCAAGTCAACAGCCAGCCCTATCATTCCACAAGGCTTAACGCAGGGTGAAAACACTTACCACGCAGCGATAAGCCTATCTATTGCATTCTTGTCTTTTAACTATTTTTGTTTCACTCTGCTTCTACTGGAAAATCTCTCTTGGTTATAGATTTGCCTTTCTATATCATTTCCTGGCCTGTATCAACACCAAATGTTACAGGAAAAAGCAGAATTTGGTGACAACTCCAAAAAGTTATCACTTTTTCTTTTTTTGGATGGGTAGGCACAGTGCCATTTTCAAATTAAAAAGAAAGTTCAAATCATGGTGAAAACCTTAGCATAATTAACTTCTCCACGAAAATATATTTTATAAATAATTCAGAAGAACTGAGTAAATCTTTGAGGAGTGTTTTTGCTTGCTTGGTTGTTGGGTTTTTTCTTTTCTTTTCCAAGCTTGACAAGCACCAAAGGAATTGGGCTCCCTGAAGAGAGGTTAAAGCACCAGCACTTAAATAAGTAAGCCCCTGATGAGCCTGGGCCACCTAGTTCTCAAGTTGGGTGGGGAACCAGGACACAAGGAGAGCTCTTAGCTATGGGCAGCTTTCCCACTTGCCCAACTCCCCCCTCTGATGGGATCAAAAAGTTGTATGGACAAGCACTCCATCAAGCATCAGCATCTTCTGAGAAAACATGGTTTGGCCAAAGCATTCAACCAATGCGTTCAGTAAGCAACTGTTCAAGAGAACACAATGTCGAATACAAATAGACCTTAAAAAAAAAACCCGAGACAAAAAGGAACAAAAATACATACAGACATCTGTTCACTAGTAGCAGCAAGGTCATTTTGGCAACTCTTAATTGAAGCACTTCATTTTCTTTGCAGAATCTCTGGCAAATGTCAGTTTTATGACAATGAATTTGTTCTGTGTAGCTAAGTACCCTTTTTGTTCCTTTTCAGTACTTTTTAAAGCAGAAATGGCTGCATTACAGCCTCATATACATTGTTCTCATTTTCTTTAATTGAGACAAACATTACTACATAGCTCCCTATCTCAACTGCTAAAACTCTTTGACTTCAAGGATAGGTTTTTTTTGTTTCAAGAAGTAAACACACTTAGCATCAACTGTAATTTGTTTTGACTACAAGCAACCTTCAGCCTTCCAGGGAACTGCTGGTCAGTCAGGGCTTGAACATTTGTGGTTAGAGTTGCAAGCATCCTCCTAGGAGAGCCCTGCTCACTCCCTTCACAAGTTTGCAGAGTGCTTTTCTATGTAGAAGGAAAAGCACACAGCGGTGCACAGGAACATGCTGGACACTAGTATTTACCTGATACTTAACAGTAGGTCTATACCCATGAGCCATTTGCATTTGAACCCAGACCCAAACTTCTCTAAAGTTTATCAGACCTTCAAGCCTGCATTTTGAACTGGGCCTTAAAACTGAGTTGACTTATTAGGAGCTAAGCTATCTAGACCTGTACTACAAAGAAGAGTTTTCAAAGATAAGCTGTTTCCTGGAGTTAACGATAAGATGGCAGGAGAGACAAGTGGGATGTTGACTGTACCTAATTTCAGCTAATCATTAATCTCTCAAATATATCCGGTTTGCCTTGATAGCCCTTGCTGTTATGAAGTGCAAATGAAAGGCAAATGAACTTTTGCTCCCCCCACCTTCTGAGTAGGCACAGTTTCACTTTGTGTGAAAACAGAAGGATTAATAGTTTGCATGTCAGACCCTTAGTTTGCTCAGTAGATCTCCCCACATACTTTTCTGGCCGCATTTCTGAAATCTATTCTCTTCCCATTTCTGACACTGAAACTGCCAGTTTACACCATATGACACACTCATCTGACCCAGACAAGACTCTCCTTTCTGGATTCTGATGCTCTTCTGTGCTGTACAGCTCCACAAGGAAAACATGTAATTGCTTGCCATATACTAGCTGTCTACAGTCTTCAATGCGGACAGGGCTTCAATGGCTCTGCACAGCCCCATGCAATTTCACCCTTTGTACCTAGTATGTTCTCTTTCACAACATCCCTTTGAAACATACAGAGCAGTCAAGGACAGCAGCTCTCTTCCAGTGAAGTCAGGGACTTAAAAATTCTTAATACCAGCACCTGACCAGGGTAGCAACAGGTCTCTCTAGGAAAAAATCCAAACTAATAAGAGCCATTTACTGTTTAAACTCAACTCCTATTTTCCTTCCTGTTCACTCACCTTCCTATCATTTATTTTTTGGAAAAGAGAACTTTGTAGTGAAGGCAATTTGCTCCACCTGCAGAAATTTGCTTGCTTGATGAGGCTTTACCTTCTCTCAACCCTTTTTCACTCAAACAGTGTTGTGGAGTCTCCAGGCATCACTGAAACTAAGTTATAAGTTCTGGATCTCTGTCATGCAAAGTTAGGGCTGTAAATATTTAATATTCAGTATTAAAAATGAAGGGTTTTCCTGCCTGAACAGCTTCAAAACTTCCACCTGGAGTTCAAAGCTACTGTTTTCTCTGCATGAAAGTAAAAGAAGAAAGGCTGGGTGGAAGCTTGAGGCATGATGATACCCCACAAGGTAAAAATAAAATCAAACAAAAGATAAAACGGGCCTGACAGTCACTGGAACAAGCCAAACACTGAATCAGCAATTATTTCTGAATTGCTTATTCCATTGTACATTGTACAACTGGTCTGCAAGACTCACCGGGCAGGCAGCTCCCGTATCTGATTGTGGCCAACATCCAACACTTCCAGTTTCCTGCTGTCACACACCCACTCGGGCAGGTTTTCCAGGTGATTTCTATGAATAAAGAATACAAAGGGATATAACTAAAGGATAATTGAGATGTAAAAGCTATTAAAAATACAGCCTCAAGAGAGATACAGATATCTGCAGGAAATAAATCTGCTACATAATGTGTTTCCTATCACCTCTCCTTCTCTAAGGGCACTATTACTGCAGTTAGGGCCTGAGTGATGGGCAAGAAATGCAGCAGCATTACTGTCTTCAGATGTAATTACAGATGTGCAACCACTAAGAAAATAGAAAAAGCTGCTTCCCTGTTACTGGGGAAGAAGTATTGAGAATACCAGAGTATCAAGGATGAAGAAGTCTCTCCATGGAGAAGAACAATTGTGAGGTACTCCTCAAAAGATACTCACACCCTACACAGTTGAAACACACCTCTTTGATTCCCCATAAATTCAGTTCTGAAACCCACTCTACCATTCTTCAGCTGTCTCACTGAATAGAGCAACATCTGTTTTTTTGGGGTGCATCTTTCAAGTCAAGCATTTTGCTTTTCTTGTATTTGTCTTTACAGAAGCTAACCCATCTAAAAAATTAAGTTCTTACAAGCTTTCCAAATACTGCAATGAAAACATGCAGCTAGGAACAATGGGGCACCCATATATCCTGCTTTAAAGACAAAAATTAGCAGCACAAAACACATGGAGGAAATTGTGTGCATGTGCATTCACATAACACTACTTCAGTTAGCAGACATAGATGCACAACTGGGCATCGGGTAATATTCAGGCATTTGCAGACCTGAAGTCCAGGAATAGGAGCCCAGCACACCACAAATATAAATCAATGTTCGTGCTCATTCATGTAGTTGTATCCTATAGTTTACTCATGCAACAGCCTTTAACCAAAACACACGATAGCAACCCAATCCTTCTTATCCTCAGATAGCTTCCTCTTCAGTCTCAACCAGATATCCCAGATTCCAAGTGAGCCAAGAAGCTAAAGACACCCTAATCACTTAGGTACAATGCCATCACTGAAGTGAGGCACAAAAAGGGTTTGTGATCAAAATCCTGCATTCTGCACCAATTTAATCTACAGCTAAATGGAGAACACAGCTTTACAAAGAATGCTTTCCAATAAATCACACTTATTTAGTCACACCTGTGTGTTACATTTAGGTGCACAATGTGAGTAACTCATGGTTGATGAAACTTTGAAGTTGATGGCCACTCGCCCAGGTAAACTCACTAATTGTTGCGATCACCCTCAATGGCTTACGAGTGCTCTAAGCAGGCTTTTAATGAATGAGATTATCACTTCAACAGGCAGATGAGTAACCCTTAAATAGGACAGCCGTTAACCACATGTATAAAGTGTTTTCCTGATGGAGTCCTTATAATGTAAAACAAACTAAAACACCCCATTTTCCATTTCTTTACCTATGCCACCTCCATCCTTAAGCTGAGGTCTGTGGATGCATTCACATGGCAGCTGCAGGAGCTGCTGAAACTATGAGTGAACTGTCAAACCATCACCTGCGCTGGGCTTGTGACACAGACACATCCAGAAAGGAACTTCTGCATACATCTCGTGCTGGTGCACGTTTCAATCATTGTGTTACAAGACAGGAAATCTTTAAATCAGGGAAACTCTTATCCTTTAACTATAAGGGCACATTTTGCTTTTAGCACTAAAACAAATAACTAGTACACCTATAAGAAGGAAACAGTGAAGAACTGGCCAGGAGAAAAAAAGCGTATTCTCCAACTCTGAAAATCAGTCTTCTCGTATCTCAAGGTCCAATTTCCTTCCAGTGAAACAGCAGTGAATGTCTTTTTTCCATAAGCCTCATTAATGTACACTTTACTAGACTCAAAAAAATACATACACTTACCTAGAAATATCCATATAAGCCAGGCAATTAGGAACTGGATACACATCAAGGTGAACAAGTTCTAAGGGGAAAAAGAAATAAAAACAAAAGTGGTGATAAAGATCTGCACCTAAATGGCTGTTCTACAAGAGTTACTTTAAGCAGCTAACACACAGACATTTCAGAACAAGTCAGTGAGCTAAAAATCTTCTGAGGGTCTGGACCTCTTTGAACAGAGTTTTGTTTCTTTATTATGTCTGAGTACATCTGCCGTATTACATTGTATTTGCTGTGACAGACACTGCATAACTGATAAGAGAGGAGAAAGTGGAGGATTTTAAAAGTTTCATGGCACGTTCTCATTTTCCCATTTTTGTCCCAGAGCTGTAACTCTCTGCCCAGAATAATCAGTCACAAACCTGCTCTGCTTTTTCTTTCACTGGTCACCAATGGTACAGGCACAGAAGGGGGGACTCCCCACTCAGAAACAGCAAGTTTCAGAACACCCCAGAGCCCTCCAGGTGGCAAGATCCAGAGTATTTTTCAACACATTACATGAGCGCCTTTGTATCCCTGTGGAGTTCCTGGTTGCAGGCAGCCTTACCGACCTTTCACGGTGTCTCAACTACCGCCAGTAATGTTATATTTTGATTGCTTCAATAATATTTCATATCCTAAGGTTTTCAGGTAGCTAATGCTTAGCAGTGAGGTTGAAACAAAACCAGCAGATATTTATTTAAGCCTCCAGAAAATCCACAAAAGTGAAAATGTAACCAGCATCACAGTCCCTTTGGAAGATGAGACTAAGATGAGGTGGCTGGGGGTGCAAAAAGAGGATGGCCAGGAGGAACAGCAAGACCAAATAGGAAGCTGATTGCAAGATTGGGGTTGACTTGGGTTCTCGGCTCACATTGCAGAGCACATGCTCAGATTATGTCAACTTTCCTCAGCTGCAAAGATCCCAGCATGAATACTTAATGAAGGCACAGGCTTGGATATCATTAAGATGACAGCCTTTTAAAGGCAGTGCAGACTGTTCAGCACATTCACAGCTCTTTGAGCCTGCATTTTGTTTATTCCATACCAAACTACTCCAAACAAGAAAAATGGTGGTGAAAACTGAGTATTTTAAGTAACAGCAGCGTCCAGAGGCAGATCAAACAAATCCTATTCACGGATCACAGGAGTTATTAAACTGGAAAATGCTGCATTATTTTTACTATTGAATATGAATTAGGTTACTCAAATTTTGTAGCTTTCTGGACACAGTAAGCAGCTAGAAGTAATAGCAAAAAAATATATAGTTTTAGTTTGTTTCACAAACAGCCACTTGTTGTTCAAACTCTATCAGCTGTGGGGGAAAACAATAAATTTCCTATTTGCCCTGGTAAAGCAATGCATTAATACAACTCAAAGAACTGACAATTTCAAGAGTTGACACAGAAAGCAATTTCAGTTCGAATGTTAAGATTTTCACCATTTTGAAACCTCCAAATTAGAAGCCCAATGTTATTTGAAAGTAACTTCTAAAGCTCAGAACTGCACGACACAGCACACATGAAACCGCGTTATCCAAGGGTCATGTCAAGAGCCTCTTGAATACGTGCACCACACTCCGTAAGCATCCCACAGAGAACAAGGTACGAAAAGCAGAAGTCAGATGGCAGCACCACAGCTACCCTGAAAACGCACTTACCATTTGAGGAAGCGTACAGCGCCTTGAGAAAATATCCGCTGATTTTGAGGGTTACCAGTTGATTCCGTTCACAGTGTAACACTTCGACATTGTTAAAAACTGTTGCGTCCAGCTCCCCAAGTTTGTTGTCTCGGAGATCCAGTTGGGTCACGTGATGCAGAAAATCAACTTCATCGGCCTCCAATCTCCTAATCGAATTCAATCTTGCAGAAAAAAAAAGGAGTTTAAGTGTAGTTACATGGCAGGTTCCTGCTGACAAAACCATGCTCACCCCATAATCGATTGTGCTGGACTAAACTAGCACACCTCCCAGTCCTGATCAAGTTGGATATTTTCCCCTTTGTTACAGTATTTTACAAGCAGGATTGATCAGCTCTGTTGTTTTATCCATCATGACAAAGGAATGAAGACATCAAGTTCCTTTCTAAACTACTTTGAAAGCTACTGATAAAAAGCTCTGCAAGAATATAAGTATTACTGTTACTGTGTCTATAAAAATAAAAGATGATCTGGCTGTTATTTGTGCCTGATAGTTCAGAAAAGAACAAAGCCTCTACAGTTCCTGCTGGCCTATCGTGAGCATCTGTTGGAAAAGCCTGGCACATACAAGTAACCTGCATATATTGGAGTCTCTTGCCTTACTGAAAGATCAAATTGAGATTTATGAATTCCCTCATTTTCCTCTCGCTTTGCCATGTTCCACAGCAAGTAAATTCAGAGGCCTGGAAATGGGTGTTGAAAGAAAACAAAGCAAAAACCCAAGATGAGTGGGTCTGTCAGATAAAGAGAACAGTTTTATTACAGCTTCACTGCAGTGCACTGACACTGCCAATACTCAGCAACTTGCCCAGAAGTTACAACTGAAATAAGATTATCCATAACCCAGCAATGTTTCAGATAGCAGTGCACTCCAAAGAGCTCAGTTTCAAATTCCCAGCTCTGAGCAGAACGCTGAGGTTGGCACAGTAACTACTATTGGCCCATTGAGCCTCCTGAGTGAGGATAACGGCATGCACCTGCAGTTTTGTCCTTACTCTTGCTTTCAAAGGGTTGCCCCCTGTATAACAGTTGTGTTTCAGAGTAGCTACACTTTCCAATTCAAAGAAATTGGGCAATATGCCCCCTCCAATGCCACAGCCTACTTTTTCTGTTTTCAGTTTACAAGCAGTGCTTCCTTCTGATTTCATGGAAGCTAAGCACATTGCTGTGCAGCACACAGAGTTTACAAACACGTTCAACATTTACTATTCCAGGTAGCATTACAAAGCACCACCGCTCACTGCTCCGAGCAGAAAGGATGTGGCCGACAGCGAGAGGGCTGGAGCTGCACCGCTGGAACTCATGGCCAGCCCAGCCACAGCAACCCTACGCTAAGGCCTGTTTATCTATTTGCTTTTAACATACATATCCACAAACACACAAAACATATTGTAACCCCAGCATATACACTTCAGCCTTCATCCATCTATTTTACCTGGCTTTCTAACTTACACTGGGCCTTCCTGAATTGTAAAGTCTGACAGCTACACAGCAGTATGATATAGTGAGTTTTAGCTTGAAGAACTTCATTTAACTAAGTGGTTCCGAAATTCAGTTATTTGGACCTCATGGTTCGAACTCTGAACTGAGCCCGATTACAGAAACTGGCTACTCCAAAGATTGTAAGAATAAAGAGCCTCCTCATAGCAGCACCATTTGTAATAAGGATCTGTTTAGACTCTGCTGAGGGCATCAATAAAATAATGTTACTCATGGTGTACTAGGTTTCTTAACATACCAAGAAATATTAAGATATCTATTTCAGTCCTCTCACCTTCACTGTCCGTTTCGTTACCTCACGCATCTGTAACATTTTTGGCAGAAGCTTTTTGAGTCAGGGAATATAATTTATACTATATTAACACTGCACTAACTAGAACTGCAGGAGTCACTGGTGTCCGAGGCTGTGTTGGGCTTTTTTGGTATAAATATTATTTTCCACCACTCATTTTCCTAACTATTGATCCACCTAAATGCTACCTCCTCCTCAAAGAAGAGTTAAGTCACAGCAAGTGCCGTGAGTTATATAGTACTGCCAGAAACATGGTCTGATGGACTAAGAGAACACATTCACACCCAGAGGCTATCCTGACAGCCAAAGAGAAAACGTTTCAACATCAATAATTCATACCCACTTATTTTTCCCCCCCTTTTCAAATACCTACCTTAGATCTACATGTTTAATATGAGGCATCCTTTTTAACACCTGCAGGTTGAGGGTATCCACGCAGTTTCCTGCCATACAGAGCTTATCCATGGCGGTCAGCTTCTCCAGCACCCCTGGAATGTCGGTGAACTCGTTGAAGGACAGACTCACGTAGCTGAGCTGATGCATGTGCTCCAGTTCGTCAGGGAGGGACTGGAGAAAGTTGCCATCCAGCAAAAATGTCTGCAAGCTATTAAAGGGAGAGAGAAAGGAAGAGAGAGTGAAGAAAGTGAGTGACCTGTTAGATCACATTTCCTTCCTATAAACAAATGAATCCGCTGCAGTTACAGTAAAATAAAATATACAAAAGGGCAGAAAAATGAAAAATGTTGAGGAATAATGCTTTAACATCTGCTACAGAAGATATCCACCAAATAATTAAAAGCCTTGGCAACTATGAAATGAAGGCTGTGCTAGACAGTTGTGTTGTATCTTCAAACATCTCCAAAACTGTGACTTGTGTGATGGCTGAAGCAGATAAGCAGGGGCGTTTAAAGATTATCTTCACCACAAAGGTGACTCGTGTGTCAAGTTCTGGGGACCAGAAACGAGATGCTTCAAGAGAAAAAGCGTGCTCCCCATCCACCCGCAGCTCACAACTGCTTCCACACAGATCTACAAGCCAGCCTGCTCTGACAAGACCCAGGAAAGGCAGAGTCATGGAACTGCTTGCTGCCTTTACGATCAGGCCGTGTACATTAAGTTTTTTAGGAAGTACTTGCTTGTGCATCTCGCCGACCGCTGCTGGAACACTTCTGAGGGCATTGCAGGACACATTGAGTTCAGTCAGGGTTGGGATACTGCAGACTGCCAGTGGGAAGTCTCCTAAATTATTATTGGAAAGGTTAAGGCTCTTCAACTTGGTGAATCTACAATGACATAAGAAAAAAAAAAAGGAAATAATGAAATAGAGCACAAACCACACCAAGTTGCCTTGCAACAAATCAATACAAGGTAAGTCTGGTTATTGAAATGCAATTCACATACATTTTTAGCTTATATACTCAGAACAAGCAAGGAAACTACTAGGCACTCAAGTTCAACACCACTTGCAAGAGCTCACTCACCTTAACCTTGCACAAGAGAAACAGGCCCTCCCAAACAACATGCTCAATATATTTTCCTATTAGTGTAACGAAGAACAAAACCCTTGCCATCCCTATGATGTATGTAATTTCTTCTGTGGCATCTCATCCTGTACTAAAACAACTTTTCTGAATGCATTTCTTGCTGGTAAGACTACCCTTGTGACATTGGTTACAAGGTGCAGGAAATTCTCACCCCATTTGAACACTAAATTTTTGTGGTGCAGCTCAGCTCCACTCATGTGAGCAGATACTGCCTTTCAACCAAAAATTGTCAATAGAATAGGTTGGTTTGAATAGAATTGGGAAATGTGCTGAATTAAAGCAGAATTTAGGAAGACTTCTGTAGTGAGAGATGCAAATTCTTATGCTCTTGATTAAGTTCAATGGCAAAGCTCACACTGCTTTCAAAATTTTGTACTTGCCATTGTCACAGAACTCTTAAAAGCCCTGTGGTTTATCACTTCAGCCTACAAAGCAATTTGCATGCACTTGCCTTATTAAAGATGACCAAGACTGTTTGAACAAAAACCCCAAGAAGGGGACAATCCAATTAGCCAGCCTGCATGTTCAGCAACATTATTGTGGTTGCCTGACAACCACTGGAGGTATGCCTAAAGGCGAGGAAAAGGATGAATGAAAAGATCTGCATCAGATTCCGATAGATGGGAGGAAGTTTCTTTTCTGGCACTGTTTAAGCCAGGACATTTCATTTGCACTTCATTTTCCCTTCATTAAGGCTGAATTCCTTTATTTGTGTGATCAGGCTTTTACATAACACAGCGATGGAAGGAAAACTGCACCTATGAGCGCTGCTATTGGACATGAAAGCCATCTCTGACAGTGTGTGCCAGGGCATCCACAGCCTCCATCAGCCCAGCACATTCTTACCTCAAAGCACCTTGTCCTCCTCCCACCAGAAAACAGGGACGGAAAACTCATTGAGCATTAAAAGGTTAAAGAGCTTTGACACCAAGAGAGTCTTAAAAATCCTTAGCAGCTACTGCAATCAACTGGCACACATCTTTAGTATTGGCTATATCAAACTCATGCCACCGACTAAAACTCAACATGAAAATATAATTAGTGCCTTTGTACCGTATTGCAGTGGGGGCTGTAAGTGGATTTTACCCCAAAAGGCTGTAAACACACTTCACGTTTACACAGGCTTGCAGCAAGCAAGGGAATGCTGTGTTCTCTACTGGTATTTTGGTGCAAAAATGATAGAAGAATAAAAATGGAAAAACCATGGCCAGAGTTATCACAGATTTTGAACACCCTGTGCCATCCTGGAGGCAGAAGAAGTTTGGAACAAAGTTAGACGGAGACTAAATGAAATCTTGCAATCAAATTACTGCTGCAGGGAAAAAAATGCTACTGTGCAGAAACAATGACTAATGCATCACTGGAGGGAGAACTGTAAAATAAAAAAGGAGGCTAGGGTAAGCTAGCTGATGCTAATAAGGGCTGCTAGCCAGGAAAAAAATGCACATTTTCAACACTGTACCTTTACTATTCTTCTATTTTTAAAGAAATGGCTTGAAAATCTTAAACCTAGACCTGAAACTCATAATCCTGCATTTATCTCGAAGATAGCTGTAGATTTAGGCCACAGATATACTGCCTTGAAATTTGAGGTGATTCTGTGGTGGAACAGCTGCCCCACATCTTCCTCAAAGTCAACTGCAAATACAACCAAGAGTGCTCTAAGTAGCAGAGACTCTGGGGCCCTTAGAAATTACCTTCCCCCCCCCCCCCCCCCCAAATATTTAGGTAAATGCAAAAATAGTAGTGAAGACAGGAAGATTACATCAAAATAACTAAGCTGCTGGAGAAACATCAAAATGCAGCCATTCCAATTTTCAAGTCAACCATGAAAAAAAAGAATTAACTCATTTAATAACCAACACTGAGGCTACAGCCTTCATCTGTACCACTCTGGAGTCTCACAAGAACAGTCTCAGCGCTTTTGCCCACTAAACCAATGAAAACTAGAATCTTTTGGGGTCTAGAAGACCCCAGATACAATCTTGAGATAAAATTACAGAAGATCAAGCTAATACAGAGGAAAGATGACTGGGGCAGGGGTGGTGAAGGAAGGTAAGAAATACATTAACTAACTCCAATACAGCGTTCAGCTTCAAAGTTTTCTGCACACAGTCTTGTGTACAATTGTTCTAGGTCACGGGGAGGGGAAATCACCACCACTCCCCCCCCTCAAATGTAGGTGGATTACATCACTGCTACCCTGACGTATGTTTTAATGTGTGTTCATTAAGGGACTTCTGCAGGTAATCTAATTACTACGGACACAAACTGAACTGGTTAGCAGGTCTATATAGTATGTAAGGGAGGATGAGTAGTATATGCAGTATCGAATATACTTATACAGAAGCTGTAAATGCACATATAAAAGTATGTAAAATAATCCACAATAGAGAGTTCATTGTTAAATCACATTTACAAAGAAAAGCTGAATGACAGACGCCATAAGCTTAATTAAACAGGTTAATTTAAGACAACTGGCAGGAAAGAGATATTGTCTTCCTCCTCTGTAAACACCTTCATTTACAAAATGCTAATGACACATTCCTTCTCATGGAGCACTGTCAAGTACAGAACATCACTAAGTCAAACTGCAGGCATTTGCTCCAAGATCTTAAGTTTACCTCTCATCTTTAGCCACTCACTTGTCACCATCCACATCACAAGTGTGTCAGGGTATTTCCATTATGGAGCACGGCCACGCTGCACATTTGAAATGCTGAATTGTTTAGAGCGCCTCTTATACCTGGATAGATTTACAGTCACTAGCACCAGCAGCACTTGTAGCATCAATATAAATAAGGTAGGAGAGAAGTATTTTACAGACCCTGTTTTCTCACACCCAAATCTTTACACCTACCAGAAGCAGGGGCATGCATCGATGCTGCCCCCATGGCATTGCTGGAAAGAAGAAAAGGCACAACATTGCTTGTTTGAGGCATGACAGCATAATAACATCGTATCAAGTCCATATGTATGCTTTCCTTCCCTCTCTTCTCTCTCCTTCACTCATTTTAGACTCAGCTGTTTTCTGCTAAAAAAGCCAACCTGAAGAGCAACATCTCTCAGCATGCTAAGTTCAGCTTACTGAGCCTTTTATTCCTATGACCAATATATAAAAGTTCACTTCTCTGACCAAAAATAGTCCTACTTTTAGCTAGAGCAAAATGTTGACACATCAACCCTTGAGTTTAAAGATGAAATACGACTGAACGCTAATTGCCATAATTGAGCCAAAAATTGCCCACTTACTTAATCCTGAAGCTGCCACTTCAGGACTGGTTTTAGTTTGACATACGCAAAACGGGGAGAGGGTTTAACAAGAGGAGTTTGTATCACGGCGAAGCAATGAAGTGACGTGCTAATTTCAAATTCTGATCTAGCCAATGCACGCAGCAGAGGAATTTCCATTACACAGTGCAGCATTTGTGTTCCACTATGTTTGGGGGTGGGGGGGCACTGTATTCGAATTGGCCATATGCCGTCATCGGAATGCAGCCCTAACAGCCTCGTCTGACAAAACCAGTCTTGCCCTACTCTTACCAAAAGCAACTAAAAAGCAGTTTTTCACTACACCTAAGACAGAAGATATGGCTTAATAAGGGACTCAACTTAAGGAAAACAACACCCTTCCCAATGCTACCTCCAGCATTTCAGCTGTCTCATGATGAAGCTGTGGCTGCAACTGAACATCATCACCATTTCAAGCAGCAGCACAACCAGCTCTGCTTCTGAGGAGACCGATGCCCCATGGCAAGTGTTGGAACTGAACTACAACTTGTCACTTTTGTGGATACCTGCTCCTCTGGCACTGACTTAATCATGAGGAGAATTCCCATATAAACCTGACGCACCCATTTCCTCTTCGGAAATAAATGGTCATTTAGTTTCAGAGCAAAGGCTGATTCTGGTCAAGTCAGAAGAAACTCGAACCATTTCATCTATTAACTATCAATTTCTCCATTAACTGAAAGAATAAATGGAAACATAGTTTTATCTGAATTTTTATTTTCTTCCTCCTTCTTAAATCCCATGGGGGAAAGAGAAAAACAAAGAAAAAAGCAGACCAACAGCTGCAATTTTGGTATCTTCACCACCCTTTATGCCAACACACCAGGAACAGTCATTCTGATGTTTCTCCCCTCTACTTGCATTTAAAACTCTAAAAGGCACAACAATTTCGGCTTACAGACTTGCATCTACATGCCAAAATTAACTGGTAGATTGTATTAAAAAAACCTCCCATAACAGACTGCACTGCACAAAAAGGAGTAATCTTAAATCTAGGCAGTTATTTTTCAAAATATACAAATAATCACAGGTGTTAAGCCAAACTGAGACTACCTCCAAACTGAGACAACAATAAAGCTTCTATTCTATTACACCGTTGGTAAGAAGACCATAATGACAAGAAAAAGAAAATGCTTGTTTTGTTGGTGGAAACCACCTGAACCGACATCACTGTACTCTGCAGTTCTCCATTTCTGCACACACTTTAGCACACACTGCTTCACTAGGAGGAAAGACTATCCAGAGGAACAACAAAACTCCCAGAGGAAAAAAAAAAAAGAAATATATCCTCCTTCTCTATGTTGGAAATTTATTTTTGAAATACAAAAGCATGAGCTACAGGTAGGCTTTCAAACTGAAAAACGTTTAAATATATGAAAGGAAAACCCTTACTTTGGAAGCCGTATCAGAGAGCAATAGGCAAGTAAAACAGAGCAGGCTGATACACA